GTTACTCAGACTGTGTAAACAAACATAGGCCTACACATTTTCGTTTGTTCCATGCACTACCGGTAGATGATTTAAACTTACACGCAGCGTAGCTTGAAAAGGTTTTTTTTTTGTGTGTGTGGCTGATTTTATGGCCGTGAGAAATAACACTGTTTAACTTGTTTAATTATATTTCATGTTTCGTTAAAATTGGTCATTTTTGCAACCAATGAGGACTTCTCTTATGTTATGACGTCTTCATTTTTTTCCTCAGATGTTAAGACTGGAGCGCACTGTTATATATATATATTTAAAAATATATACAATACTACTGTGGACGCTGTTTCCCCACCAATCATGTTTTATCTGTTTACAGAGCACAGTGAAGACACAATACACAGTAGCTCACAATACAAAGAACACAAGCTGTTCCTGCTGATGATATATAAACGTTGGCAGAGCTATTACTCTAGAGTATACAAACTCAATCCAGCAAATAAACTTAGGCTTTTCAAGTTACTGGTGACCAACAACTCTAGAAATGTTCAGAACGATGGGAACGTTTTGCCAAGTAACCATTAACATAACCCTGAAAAATAATAAGCATTTTTATATAAACACCATACAAAATAATCCAAAATAAAATATCAATAACTTCTAGTTTCTTGAGTTTGCTTCTGTTTTTATTGCTTATTAAATAAGATGACAGAGCATTTGGTCAAAAACAGCGCATTTAAGCTATCTTGTTTCCCAGACATTATATTAAGTAAAAACACAAAGTCAAAAGTACATAAAATAACATTATGAGATCACTTACCGTAATGTAAGTACAATCACTGTAGTGGATTGTCTGTGTTCACTACAGTGTGAATTCATGCAAGGTTTTTGTACGGCTCTGTATCACTGTGATGATGGGCTGCGCTTGTATTGTCCACAATAGTACATCCCTGCATCTTGAACTTCAACATTGCTTATGAAAAAAGTGAAATCCTTTGAATCTTTTTGCCATTTACCACTGTAACGTGTTCCAGCGAAACTAGCAGTGTACAGCTCATACATGATAAGTTTTGGTGCCTGTCTGGGTTTAAAGAAATAAAACCTCATGTCATCGGCGATATACTTTGAAGCTCTGCATTGCACTGTAATGGTGTCACCTGTGTGGACAGACACAGAGGCAGGGGACTGATCTATGGAGATCTGGGCACTGGATTCTGAAAAACAAAGCAACCACAAAAATCGGGCTGAAGGCATTTCAAGACATAATTTGTCATTAATAATTACCTGTATTCAATCTGTACTAATTTGCCATAAGGAAACATATAAATAACTATGGATTTAAATTATCACTGTTGACAATCAGACATTAATTAAAAGCTGTAATCATACCATTTCCTTGAATCCAGAGAGCCAGTATGAAGACAAGTTGAATAAGGGTCTTCATGTTTCCAGGCTGAGGTTTCTGAGCTTGTAGAAAAGGGCTTCTTTTTTAAAGCTGGTGAAAAAGAAAAATTCACAGAAGAGCGGTTTATGCAAAGTGGTCTGTTATGCAAATATAGTTGCAGGTGATGAAACTGACGGTGCAATGTGAATCTTAAAATATTAATTGCACTTAAAAACAGATGTTAGGATATTGTGGTATAAAATCATCAACAAGTGGCCCTTGTGATGTCTTTTTAGAACATTATAAATTAGTTTTACCAAAATGCATTCTATTTAATAATCCCATTTAGCATGAAGATTTTTCAAGAGGTTTTGAAATCCTTCTGCTAGTAAGAACTTCCTTGAAGCACAATTTCGAAACATAAGAACAGTGACAGTGTGCTGTGCACTGGAGGTTTTTGTCTGGTGAAGACTTGCCTGGTGCTCCTCCGTGCAGTTGGACATGGAAACATATAATGACTCATGAAGAGCTTTTGGTGTTGGATTTTGTTCTTAAGATATACAGTATTTATCTCTCTCTCTCTCTCTATATTAGATTATGAGTGCAGGACGTAAGGTAGTCAGGTTACATTGCACTACAAACTGGTACACACACACGGGCAACAGACTGAACTACAAAGTCAAACTGATGGAGTGTGAGAAAAACAATAAAGGATTACTGTCCCCGGACAGAGAGCGGGAGAAAGCAAAAGTCAGCCAGACCACCAGGGTCAGACAAGCTGAAAGATCACAATTGAAGTACCTTGTCACGAGGTGAACATTTAACGTGTATAAGCACAAGATTGTTTT